CTTGTATGAATTCATATTAGCATATCTAACGGACACAGGGCACTGAATACTGATGCGGAGGGACTTGCCTAGGATGGGAATGGCTGGGGGGGGGGGGGTCAATTGGGGAAAAAGAAGACAAATGTAAAACTATAGACAATTAAAAAAAATTATTGGCTCCTACTGTGGTACTATTATTATTATCGTTTCTAGGTTTTATTTCAAGTCTCCCAGTTAAGGAATTAATCCAGTTCAAAACACAAAATTTACAGACTGACCTCAAAACATTGGATAATTTTCCGTTACTCTCAATTCCTCTCTTCTTAAAACTTAAAATGGTAAAGAAGTGTGAAAAAACGCAACAAAATAAGCTCTTTTCAGAAAAATTTAAGAGCTTCAATAATAAAGCTACTGGTTGTAAAGTTGGAAAACAGCCCTTCTAGGCTTCTTTGGCTCTGACTTCTAGAATCCAAAAGAAGAACTTCTTTGGAGCAAACGCAGAGCTCTTTCTTTTGAGGAAATGTAGATTTGGCCAGACTAATTAACAGGCAAAGATGTGAAGATATTCCTACCTATAGCATCTATCAATTAAAGTGTAACATAAGTGTCTCCTTCCAGAGATTATCTGTACTTTCAAAACTTGTCAGAATTCATTCTTGAACATTAACAACCACTAACTGTGACATTCAAGCAGACAGCTCTACCTCTATTGCTAAACAGCCAAAAAGCAACAGGACATGGAATAGATCAACATGGCTACTTCAAATGAACTAATTTTACTAAAAGTGAAAGAACTGCTTATACAAATTCTGAAAAATCTAAATGAAAACTTTCAATCAAGCCATTAGACAAGACACATAAATCCTGTTAAAATTCTGGGTCAGAAAAATCTCTCTTTCTAGATGAGATTGTGGTGTTTTGTGGTTTCTTTTAGTCAAAGAGAACTACCCAACTGTGTTTTTTCCTTTCTGCCTGGGAGCCAGAAAAATGCCTGAATAAAGTAACACACAAGTTTCCCAAAGTCTTATTCTCCTATCATCCACCTTAAGCCACTATTTTCTAAATTTCTCTAAGAAATCAATAAAGGAGTAAAACCAAGTAACCTCTCATATTTTATCTTGGAAAATCATGACAAATCTGCAATCTACTCCACAGTATAGTTATACCTGCCTAAGTTACTTTAAAAAAATTTTTTCTGACAATTGCTTGACATTTTTTAAATCCGCATTGTTGAGGAAAACTGACATTCTAGAAAAATAATGTACTTTGTCATATGACTTCAAACACCTGGGCACCATGCCAAGTGTACACAGGAGTCATGCCTATTAATTTTTTAAAATTTCAATTTATCTAAAAAAATTGTTTTTTTTGGAGGTGGCTTTATTTCCATTCTTGAAGAAAGATATACCCAAATTAAAATTGTGTTTGCTCTGGCTAATGGTGATTTACAAGTTAAATGAGTCACAAAAAATCGTGCATGTCCTTATTCACTAAATGCTTATTCCATTTTTGCTATGGGCAAGACATTATACTAGGTTCTGGGGAGGTACAAGATAAAGGGACACACTCTGTGAAGTTACTGCCCTTTCTATCTTATACTCAGAGAATGGAGGGGGATAGAAGAATGAAACTGGGTATAAGAGGCAGTGAGAGACGGAGAAATACAAACAATATGTACTACAAAGCAGACTGACTTTAACAACAGAACAAAACTGCTTGATATAGGAAGAGATAATTTAATTCTGCCTGAGAGGAATCAAGGGTTAGATATGATAAAGCAAGTAACATTTTAATTACACTATGTGAATGGGCAACAAGGACTTGAGATGTCAGCAAAGCTCAAGTTAAGTTTGTATGGATACATGACTGAATGGAAGGGGATGAATGGGAGACACTAGAAAGGTAAACTGCAGCAAACAGTAAGAAATTCAAAACCATTAAGGATGGATGAGCAGGGAGTAGGCATACTTATAATTATGTTTTGGAAATATAGCCAGTACTGTAAACAGTCAGATGAGAGGAAACTAAATGCAGAGAAATAAGTTAAATTATTAAAAGTCCAAGGAAACATGGGGAAAAAGCTAATTACAAAACAATACTTTAAAATTCAATCCTGTATTTATGAAGGAAAAATACACATAGTCCAATCAAAACTATATTCATACACACAGAAAACTGTCTGGAAAAACATGGAACCAAAATGTCTACATGCCCAGAAGGCATGGCTCAGTGGTTGAGTGTAGACCTATGAACCAGGAGGTCACGGTTTGATTTCCCATCAGGACACATGCCCGGGTTGCGAGCTTGATCCCCAGGTAGGAGGCATGCAGGAGGCAGCCAACTGATGATTCTCTCTCATCAATGATGTTTCCACCTCTCCCCTTTCCTTCTTCTCTGAAATCAATACAAGTATATTTTTAAAAAACAAACCAAAAAACAAAATCTCTACAGTGGTTACCAAAGGTGATGGGATTATACGGGTGATAATTTCTTTTTTATAGTTTGCTTTAATTGATGAATCTTTTTTACAAAGAATATACAAGAAAGCTATTTCTATGTTAAATGATGATAAAAGTTTGAAGAGAACAAAAGGCTGTTTCGTTTTTGTAGACAGAAAAATAATAAATCTATATTGGATCTGGTCTGCTTGAGGTGCCAAAAGGAAGTAGGAAGAAAGGAATAACAAAGAAACACAAACTCAGATTTTAGCTATTTTTTGCTTTGTTGAGATAGTAATGCATACATTACAATACAATATATAAAAATTCCTTTTCTTTAGGTTAGCTTTATATAGCCACCCACCTGAGGAAAATAATAAGACTTATTTTCAGTATTTTAGAACCTGTATACTTCTAAAAGAGAGGGCAACTAATAAAAATTGTGTAGGTTGAAATATATTTTGTACTTACTTACAAAGCTGCCTTAATGAATTAGCTCTGTTTGGAATAGTCTGTACCAATGTTTTCTCTGGCAAGTTAACCTTGTCCAGCCTCCCTTACTACCTTCATCCCAACCTGGAACAAGCAAACCAACAGTCATCCACCCACAATGGGTAGATAAAAGACTTAAAATAACTATAAACTATAAAATACCCTCCTGCATGTTAGTAGTCACAGGCACGATGGGATTGTAAAGCCCCATATTAGATTCACTTATAATAAGTATTTACACTGAAAGAGCACATTTGGTCTAGAGAAGATAACACTATGGAAAACATACCCCATTAGAAGCTTTCTTCTTTGCTTTCCATTCATCCAGTTGTGCCTTTGTCTTTGCATCAACTTTAACAAGCAGTTTCTTCTCTCCAATCTGCAGGTCATGCAATAACCTGAGTGCACGGAGGGTAGATTCAGGCTCCTTATACTCACAGAATCCAAAGGCTAGCAATAGATGTAAAGAATTAGTAAAATATCACTATAATAATGATAGATGAAGAGTATTTATGAAAAGTTAAAATCATTAAGAGACCAAATACTGTAATACAAGGATTATTCATGTTGTTACTCCACCCTTTCCTTCAATTTCCTTTGAAAAGGGTTTCACTTTTACACCCTTAACCAAAAGAACAAAGACAAAAACAGGGGAAAAAGAAAAATTCTAATCAGGCAAACTACTACTTATTAAAAGTGCTGATAATATAGTTAACAAATTCAACACGTTTCATGACTGTTAATTATGTCATGAACTCATTCCATCCAGACTTCCTAACAGCTATAAATGAGAACAGGCTACTTCAACATAAATACAACATTTTTCTGAGAAGTTAAACTATAAAAGTAACAATCTCTTATGCTGACTATTCATCTAATTTTTTTCTGTATCTTTCATTTTAATAACTAGTCTTACTATTATTACCATGACTTTATATCAGAGATATTAAAACAAAATTAAATTTAAAAAGTGTAACCTAGCCCTAGCTCGTTTGGCTCAGTGGATAGAGCGTCCGCCTGTGGACTGAAGGGTCCCAGGTTCAAATCCAGCCAAAAGCACATGCCCGGATTGTGGGCTCAATCCCCAGTGGGGGGGCATGCAGGAGGCAGCAGGTCTATGATTCTCTCTCATCACTGATGTTTCTATCTTTCTCTCCCTCTCCTTTCCTCTCTGAAATCAATAAAAATATGTTAAAAAATAATAATAAAAATTAAAAAAAAATAAAGAGTAACCTAAAAATTGGAAGTAAAATTAAACAAGTAAATCCAAACATTTACATAAGTTAATGATGTAACCATACAGAAAGAAACTATTCTGAGTGAACTTAAAACAGTAAATTTAACCATACATTTTTAGTGTGACATATCCTAAGGACGTCTAAAATTACTGTAAGTGAAAAGTGAGGTGAAACAAGCCAGTAAATACTTAATGATCTCAATAAATAAAGAAAAAAGAACCTACCTTGAAGTTTTCCAGATGCACCTTGTACTCTCTTCCAGCTTAAAACCAAGCCACATTTCTTAAAAAGGAAAGAAAAAATGTTACCACTTAACAAAATTAACTTATAATGCAAATAAGAGCACAACTCTATTAGCACTAAGAAAAAAATAGAAGCAAAAAAGGATCATATTAGCAACTAAGTTTCTTAAAATTCTCAGTTCCTACAAATCTATTATATGAAAGAAATATATAACAAATTATTTCAAAGAAAAATATAAATTCTTACTGATTCTTATTTGCAGAAAATTGTTTTAATTAATTAGAAATTTTACAGCATTATTTATCCTACAAATATATATATATATCAATGCCCAAGTTATAATAGTCAAAACTATAGTAAATTCAATTAAATTCATAAAGATTTTGTTTTAAAATACATGTATATATTACAAAGTTTTAGTGACATGTGAAAGTGCTTGATATGGGATGCAAAACATGGGACATGAAATTGTAGATATATAGTAAGATTTTAATTATGAAAAAAACAAAGTGAATTTTCATAAAATGATCAGAAATATTCCAAAATGTTAAGGGGCAGGTTGTGTGAAGGGTGGGACTTTATTACAACTTTTTTCCATTTTCAATTTTAAAACATTATTTCTAATTATTAAAAAACAAGTAGGTTTAAAAAAATTACTTCTAGAAAATACCTGGTTTGCCTGTCAAAGCTGAATGTGAATGTTTCACATCTCCCTTCAGAGAAATCACTAAAATGATATTTTTTCTCTGTTTTTATAATCAAATAATATAAAAGGTAAAAACACTTGAAGTCTAACATTGCATGAGAAACAGCAGCAAAATTCAACAAAATTTTAAACAAACAAAATGATGGATGGTAACTCATCCTATAGAGCAGCGGTTCTCAACCTGTGGGTTGCGACCCCTTTGGGGGTTGAACGACCCTTTCACAGGGGTCGCCTAAGACCATCGGAAAACATATATAATTACATATTGTTTTTGTGATTAATCACTATGCTTTAATTATGTTCAATTTGTAACAATGAAATTGGGGGTCACCACAACATGAGGAACTGTATTAAAGGGTCATGGCATTAGGAAGGTTGAGAACCACTGCTATAGAGCAAAGAAAGCTATAACTCCAAGTGTCTACAGAGGCAGATACTGGTGAAAAAGAAAGGCTAAAGTGATTCTACAAAGCCAAGTAGATCTAGAGGTCAACAAAAAGGGGGGGAGGGTGGCCCTGGCCGTGCAGCTCAGTTGGGTAGAGCACCATCCAAATGCTAAGGTTGCAGGTTCCATTTCCAGTCAGGGCACATACAAGAAACCATCAATGAATGCATAAATAAGTAGAACAAGAAATCGATGTTTCTGCCTCTCTCTCTCAATAAAAAAATAAAAATAAGGTAGAGTGGAAAATGGGGTTGAAGCATGAAGCTGAATAAAAACAGGTGCTTGCCTAACAATATAAATACAGCATAATTAAAGTCAAAGTTCTTCTCAAGTAACTACCTTAGTCCCCACCCCCAGAGAACAGGAATTTTGTCTAAAGAAGGTGAACACACAAGCTTGTGATATGAAGCACCAGATAAAAAAAAAAAAAAAAAAGATATCAAGTGGGTAACAAGGAAAAAAGGTAAAAGTATAAGAAATGCTTGAAAAAAAAAATGCTTGAGCCTGGCCTGTGTGACTCAGTGGTTGGTTATCAACCTATGCAAGAGGAGGTCACGGTTTGATTCCTGGTCAGGGCACATGCCTGGGTTGTGGGCTGGATCCCCAGTGGGGGATGTACAGGAAGCAGCTGATCAATGATTCTCTCATCATTGATATTTCTATCTCTCCCTTCCTTTCTGAAATCAATAAAAATATATTTAAAAAAGGAATGCTTGAAATTAGCCCTTCAACCCCAACCCATACAGGTAGCCAATCATATACTCATGAGGCATGAACCAAGTTTTCTAGAGAAAACAACCAGCCTCAAAGAAAAAAACCTCCACATATGAATATTTAATACAGCTGGCTGTTGGTTAGATTGCTTAAAATAATGTCTAACATTTTACAAACCCAGTATAAAAAGCCTTTTAATCCCTAACTTTTTTTTTAAATATATTTTATTGATTTTACAAAGAGGAAGGGAGAGAGATAGTTAGAAATATCGATCAGCCACCTCCTGCACATCTCCTACTGGGGATGTGCTCGCAACCAAGGTACACGCCCTTGACCGGAATCGAACCTGGGACCTTTCAGTCCGCAGGCCGACGCTCTATCCACTGAGCAAAACCCGGTTATGGCTTAATCCCTAACTCTTAAACATGACAGACAATCTAGGATCACCAGACATTTAAGGGAACACCTAAAAGTGGAAGAGAAATAAAAGGCAGAAAAGAGATCAATTTAGGAATCCAAAGAAAGCTTAAAAACAAAGCACTCTGTTGCACATATAAATCAAGAACAAGTTTTTTAAAGGGATATTTCAAACTGAAAAAATATACACATCTCCTCCATACAAAAATTTGTACACAAATATTCTTAGTACCATTATTCATAGTAACCAAAAAGTGGAAACAAACTAATTGTAAATTAACTGAAAGAGTAAACAAAATATGGAAGAACCATTAAATGGAACAGTCAGGCCCTAAAAGGGAATGAAATACCAATCTATCTATATAAAAGGCTAATCCTCGGGTATGTTGGAGAGCCATTCCTACAGCGCGACGATAAGTCGGAGCCCACCTACATAAGCGCCTATGTCACTCACATGGAGCACATACACAGCAGTAACGAAGTGAAATAGTAAAAGAAATTTAAAAGAAAGATAACAATCCCTGACCTTTACTTGTGGTAAATACAGTAAATAAAAGAAACATAAAACACATATGTACATACGTCGAAATGACGGAACTTTTTTTTTTTACAAATAAATGGGAGATGGCGACGTAACCACGAAACGAGGAACATCGAGTCCAATGTAAACCGAGGACTGTCTGTATGCTAAGTATCCTTCCCACCTTCCAACAGGTCGCTATGACACACACTAACCACCAAGGGGCAGACGCTCCATGCAGGAGCTGCCGTGATGCGCACAGAGAAATGGCACAGTGGACCTGGCACCCACAAAGCAACACTCAGCTTTCCCCAAGTGGGACACAGGTCCCGCCACCATCCTGGAGCACCAGCCCACCAAATTGCCGCCTACACTGCCAAGACCCCATAGTGCAGGGGTCCTCAAACTTTTTAAACAGGGGGCCAGTTCACTGTCCCTCAGACAGTTGGAGGGCTGGACTATAGTTTAAAAAAAAACTATGAACAAATTCCTATGCACACTGCACATATCTTATTTTGAAGTAAAAAAACAAAACGGGAACAAATACAATATTTGTATTTGGGTGGCGCCGCGCCGTGAGTGACAGGAACAATGATCTAAATGGTGTGGCTGTGCATGCGCCACTCATCCCGAAGTGCTCTCTAAGAGGGAATTATTATTACAGCAGGTTTCTTCTCTTTGTGCAGCAATAGCACGCAAACCCGGTCACTAACTACAGTGGGCCGAATCAGCCCGATTGAGCACTGAAGGGAGCATAGGATATGTTGTAGGTCTGGGAGGCACAAGTAAATGACAGCTGAACAGGAGGTGGGGAGATAGGACTTTGTCTATCTTGAAGGCCCTCGTGTTTGGGACACAGGCGAATGGAGACGCCAGACAAAATTAGTGTGAATGAATGGGCAGAACAGAGCTCATCTTCCTGGTACCCACAGATGGCAGAGGAGCCTAAAAGCAATTAAGCCTAACTGGGTCACCAACTGCTTTTTGGTTTTCCTCTGTGGTCAGGACAGATCCTCATGCCTCTTGGCCTTTCCATG